AAGTAAAGTACGCCCGTACCAAGTCAGTTAAATCCAGTACTGATCCAGCAGGCTGCATCATCTGTGGGGACCCAAAGCACAAGAGAAAGCTCTACATCTGCAGACGGTTTAGAACCAACACAAAGTTACAGGAGAAAGAGGATGCAGTGCAGCAACTTGGAGCCTGCAAGAGATGCCTCGAGATCCACGATGAACCCTGCAGAAAGACTACTTACCTGTGTGGAAAACCAGAGTGCAAAGACCAGCATCATTACCTTCTTTGTCCCTTGCCACGACCCTTATCACAAAGGCCCAAGTCTGGTCCGGCGAGAGCTGAGGGGAGGAGGTATACAGAGGTTCAAGAAGAGTTCATCTCTAAACTATCGCCAGAGCTAGCGCAGCAGTGTCGAAAGCTTTCTGCAACGTCTCATCACGAGCCTTCAACTCCATGGCAGCAGAGAGAGGTCTACTGGAGGAGACTGGTCTAAAAGAGTACCCTGTGATCCTGATGCTCCTTGACGTCATCGCCAATGATGGGCAGAGAATTGGGACACTAATTGATCTAGCATCTGACACAAACTACATAACCCATAAAGCTGCAAGTAAGCTCAACCTTCGCAGTGAAGACGTCAGCTTGTCATCCAGGGTATCGGAGGTATGAAGGTGTCTGTGGCAACCAAGCGCTACCTTCTCAAGATCCGTGTCAACACCTCAAAAGGAACTTTAAAGCCTCACCAGTTAGTCTGCTATGGTCTTGACAAGATTGCTGAAGTGGAAAGACAGTTCCACCTCAAAAGCTACAGAAAGATCTTCCCTGACATCCCTCTCCAAGACCTCATCAGACCCAGAGAGATCCAGCTTCTAATCAGCCATAAAGAAGGCCAGCTGGTGCCCCAAAAGATCCGTTCCATCGGTGACCTGGTTCTCTGGGACGGTCCACTTGGCAAGACAATTGGGGGCGCACATCCAGACCTCTTTGAGGCTAGACCCAGAAAGCAGCAGGTACACTACCTTTAACACGCCATTTGGGCGTTACTGTTTCTTGAGGCTCCCATTTGGAATTAAATCAGCACCAGAGATCTTCCACAGGGCAATGGAGTCCCTGATCGAAGGGCTGGAAGGCACCAGAGTCTACATAGATGACCTCGTAGTCTGGGGAAATACAAGGCAACAACATGATGAAAGGCTGGAGAAACTTTTGTGGAGAGATGCGTGACCCAGAAAGAGAAGGGGCAAGATACGAGAGACGGAGGAGGGAAAAGCGAAGGAGGAGAAAGGAATGTACGAGCGAAAAGAAGAGAGCACCGAGACGGAGAGACAGGACAGCGGGACGAGATCTAGAGCGCGAGAGCGGGGGTGAAAAAGGACGAGAGACAGAGGCGAACATATGACGAGAGACCTGTCGAGGAGCCGAGGGTGGCAGAGCGAGCGTGGAGCGAGGAAGACGCGAAGAAATACGGGGCGTTACTGTTTCTTGAGGCTCCCATTTGGAATTAAATCAGCACCAGAGATCTTCCACAGGGCAATGGAGTCCCTGATCGAAGGGCTGGAAGGCACCAGAGTCTACATAGATGACCTCGTAGTCTGGGGAAATACAAGGCAACAACATGATGAAAGGCTGGAGAAACTTTTGTGGAGAGTTAACAAGAATGGACTTAAACTGAATAGAGACAAGTGCCTCTTTGGTGTTTCAGAGATGACCTTCGGAGATAAGGTTACAAGTGAAGGGGTGGAACCTGATCAGTCAAAGGTACAAGCCATATTGGATATGCCAGCACCCACTGACAAAAAAGGTGTCTTGCGAGCAATGGGGATGATCAACTTTCTGGGTAAGTTCATTCCTAATCTTACCTCCAAGACAGCATGCCTAAGGGAGCTGCTACAGCACAACACAGTGTTCGAGTGGACGGCCCGGCATGAGAAAGAGTGGAAAAAATTGAAGGAAACTGTAACTACAGAGCCGGTCTTGACATTCTTTGATCCATCAAAGCCAACAAAAATTTCAACAGATGCCTCAAAAGATGGCTTGGGAGCAGTTCTGCTCCAAAGGAACAAAGACAAGTGGCAACCTGTAGCATATGCGTCCAGATCTATGACAGAAACTGAACAACGCTATGCTCAAATTGAAAAAGAGACTTTGGGCTTAGTGTTTGGGTGTGGAAAATTTCACAGCTATGTATATGGATTACCAACCTTTACAGCAGAGACTGATCACAAACCTCTCATCTCGATCAGAAAAAAGAACCTCAACGACATGTCACCCAGAATTCAGCGCATGATGATGGTGTTGCAGCGCTATGATTTTGGGGTGGCTGTAGCTCAGGTGGCAGAGCAGGTCAGCCACTAATCAGAAGGTCGGTGGGTTCGAGCCCACGGCTTGACAGTCCTGGTCAGTGCAAATAGTCCTTGGGCAAGAACTACACCCATGTTGCCTACTGGTGGTGGTCAGAGGGCCCGGTGGCGCCTAGTGTCCGGCAGCCTCGCCTCTGTCAGTGCGCCCCAGGGCATGGCTGTGGCTACAATGTAGCTTGCCATCACCAGTGTGTGAATGTGTGTGTGAATGGGTGGATGACTGGTATGTAAAGCGCTTTGGGGTCTCAACGACATGTCACCCAGAATTCAGCGCATGATGATGGTGTTGCAGCGCTATGATTTTGAGCTGATCTACACGCCTGGGAAATATATCGTACTCGCGGATGCATTATCCCGAGCGCCAGCACCAAGTGGTGACAGGTTAGTCAGCGCTACAGCCGAGGAGGCTGAAACACATGTAAACATGGTAACTGCCTCACTCCCAGCATCAGATGTCATGTTGCAGCAAATTGTACAGGAGACGACAAAAGATCCAGTGCTGCAGAAAGTATCCCACCTTATACAGAATGGGTGGTCAAAAGGAGTCTGTCCAGGGTTCTACTCTGTGCGAGCTGATTTATGCATGGCTAATGGGCTGGTGCTGAGACAAAACCAGATTGTCATTCCTCAATCCATGCGGAAAGACATGCTTCAGCGTATCCATGAAGGACATCTTGGAGTGGAGAAATGTAAAAGGAGAGCGAGAGAAGCAGTTTACTGGCCAGGCATCAACAGGGATATTGAAGAGATGATACAGAAATGTGAAACATGTCTCAAACATCACTACAAACAAACAAAAGAGCCAATGCTGGCAGCAGATCTACCCACTGCACCATGGCAAAAGGTAGGCACGGACTCAGAGCTGACGTCCGAGCGGCACTGAGGAGAGTGAACACAAGGAAAGCAGCGGGGCCAGACGGCATCACCGGCCGTCTGCTGCGCTGCTGTGCTGACCAGCTAGCAGGTGTGTTCACTTACATCTTCAACGAGTCCCTGGCGAAGTCTGTGGTCCCCACATGCTTCAAAAGATCCACCATCATCCCTGTGCCCAAGAACAGCAAACCCTCATCCCTGAACGATTACCGGCCAGTTGCACTGACCTCGGTAGTAATGAAGGTGTTTGAGAGGCTGCTGAAGAACATCATCTCCTCCTCCATCCCAGACACCACAGATCCGCTGCAGTTCGCCTACAGATCCAACAGATCCACAGAGGATGCCATCGCCCACGTCCTACACACCACTCTCAGCCACGTGGACAAGAAACAGGGTAACTATGTGCGAATGCTGTTTGTTGATTACAGTTCAGCGTTTAACACAATAGTGCCCTGCAGACTGTTCACAAAGCTCAGGGATCTGGGACTTAACAGCCGTCTGTGTGCATGGGTGTTGGACTTCCTCACTGGCAGAACTCAGGTGGTGAGGGTGGGCAGGTGCTTCTCCAACAGCATCACCATCAACACAGGAGCACCTCAGGGATGTGTCCTCTCGCCACTGCTCTACTCCCTCTACACTTCAGACTGTGTGGCCACCCATGGCTCCAACACCATTGTGAAGTTTGCTGACGACACAGTGGTGTTGGGTGCCATCTCCAACAACGATGAGGCGGCCTACATGGATGAAGTGAAGAATCTGGCATCGTGGTGCCAGGACAACCACCTCCAGCTGAACGTCAGCAAGACCAAGGAGCTGGTGGTGGACTTCAGAAGGGGTCAGCACAGAGACTACAAGCCCATTATCATCAATGGAGCTCCAGTGGAGAGGGTGCAGTCCTTCAAGTATCTTGGTGTCCACATCTCCTCAGACCTGACATGGGCTGCCCACATTCAGGTCCAGACCAAAAAGGCTAGGCAGCGCCTGTATCACCTACGACAACTGAGGAAGTTCAGGGTCTCTCCAAAGATCCTCAGGATTTTCTATACAGGCGCTGTGGAGAGCATCCTCACACAGAACATGACATCGTGGTTTGGGAACAGCTGTGTGAAGGACCAAAAAGCTCTCCAGAGAGTGATCCGTACAGCAGAACGCTGCTGCAGGATTGCTCTCCCCCCGCTTCAGGACACCTACACCAGGAGATGCCGGACTAGAGCAGCGCAGATACTGAAGGACCCGTCCCATCCTGGCAACAAACTGTTCCAACTTCTGCAATCTGGTAGAAGGTTCCGCATCTTCCGGGCAAGGACAGAGAGACTCAAGAGGAGCTTCTATCCCCAAGCCATCCGTGCCCTAAACACACACACCCGCCCTCTCACATCATCTATAATTGACTGAGACAGGACTCTTCCAGACACTAAACCAAGGCACAATGTACATTTCAATTCCTTTAATTTTAAATATGTTTATATTGTCTATCCTGTAAAATAGTCAGATGTCTATTCATATTAATGTACAGAATTCACCTGCTTGCTGCTACTACTGCACATTCACCCAGTGTATATACTATATATATATATATATATTCTTCCTCTACACCCCCCCCCCCCCCCCCCACACACACACACAATTTTTGCACATGTCGAGGAGCGTGTCAGGCTACATTTCACTGTGTGTTATACTTGTATAACTGTGCATGTGACAAATAATAAAGAACCTTGAACCTTGACTTATTTCATCTGGATGGCAAGGACTATGTTTTGGTGATTGACTACTATCTCTCGGAACTTTGTTCTCTCCTTGGCAGGGTCGATGTCTCTCAGCTGGTCTAACTGCTCGTAGATGGACTGTTGAGATTGGAGGTATGCGAGCAGCTTGTCAAACCGGTTCTGATGAGTCACAGCGTTCTTTGGATCAGCAGCGTGGGTAAGCCAGTCTTTCTTTAGGGACTCGGGCAGCTTGCTTTCAATAGACTTTATTACCAAGAGGTTCTTCATGGCATTTGCTTCATCCAGCTCACTCAAATCATAGAGGGCCTTTTCAACTGCGTGGATAAGCTCTATAATTCTTCTAGGCTGGTTGCTACGAACAGGAGGGATAGCTTGAAGCTCCTCAATGATTTCAATGGCGATGGTGGCTTGATTTCCATAGCGGTTCTCAAGGACTCTGAAGATCTCATCGGGCGAGGTGTATGTGGACAGGCGCAGATCTTCGGCCACTTTATCATCGAGGCTATCAAGAAGTTGGAATTTCTTTACTTCCACGGACCCGGTTGGTTCACCTTGCTTTTGCAGAGCCTCCCATTCCTTCCGCCATCTGTAGAACTCACGCTGGCTGCCGGTGAACTTTGGTAAAGCTGTGGCTTTCAATTTTATGGCTGCGACCGAGGCTGCGTTGCGGACTGTGACGACTGCTTGGTCGGCATCTCTTTTAATCCTCTCTGCTTTGATCAGGACTGCCTTCCCTGACACCAGCTTTGGAAGGCAGGTTTCGAGCTCCATCAGTCGACGATCACAATCTCGCCTCTCAGCAGGTGGAGCCCAGCGGTTCCATGTCTGGTGTGCCTGCTTAGCTTTCTTCACCAGTTCTTCTAGATGGTGGAGCATAAAATCATATGCCTCCAGGGGTGTATCAGGCTGAGTGGATGTGACGTTCTCACACGCCATTTCTGCTGATTTTAGAGCAAGGGTCAGTTCTTTTTCACCATATGATATCCACAGTGTCTCTCTGATCAGGTGCTTCACCTCCTTCAACTTCTGCTCACATTCTTTCTCCGTTTTTTCGACGTCTGCTCTCTGTTGGCCCATCAGCTCCGGTGTGCCCTCTGCTTCACACTGCGTGATGTAGGCAGCTTCAAGCTCCTCGTTCGCGTCAATCACTTTGGAGCCCTCTGCTGTGAGTCTCTTGAAGGAATCCTGCAGCTCCTCTACAGACATATCCATGTGGGTCCTTATTATATGGTTGGTGAGTCTGGAAAACAGTCTCTTTGCAGTGGTTCGCTCTATTTTCAGCTCTTCGAGTGACTTGGACTCAGCCATGCTCCTTTCTTGGTTGTTGATTGGACTGGCAAACGGCGTGCGATTTCCTCCAGGCCCCCAGGTGGAGTCTTCTCCGTCTTTGTGGTGAGCTTTTGTGGAGTCTTCACTGGTCAAGGCCGGTTTCTCTACTGGCCAGGCCGGTTTTTTACTGTCAAGTGTTGTCTGACTGTGAGGTGTCCACACTTGAAAAAGACCAGACTTTGAATTTCACTCAACTTTATTTAGACCAACTAGTTTGATAGCTGGTAGGTAGCAGCAGGTAAAAAACCTTTCAACACAAAAATAAAGAACATTTCATTAACCATTCAGAAAAATTAAATGCATTACACAGAAGATAGATGAAATAACAAAATACACTTCAGTAAAGCCATTTACCATGTGGTTAACTGTGTTAATTTAACTGTGGTTCTTAAATATACAAAATGTGTCTTCTTTGCATTAACACTTTCTTTTATAAACAATTGTATTTTAAAGTATACATTTTAGAGTTCACAAACATTTTAATAGAGACTTTAACTAAGGATTTTCTTTACAAAATTATTTTTCTTTAAATCAAAACCAAACATTTATTCTCTATTTTTACGATCCACCCAAGGATTTGGGGGGTAACTATTTTTAATATTAAGTAACATAAATATGTGGGAACACTAACTGCACAAACAATTTATTCAAACTTAAACATTCTTTTTTGTCAATATAATTTTTTAAACTTAAATGCAGCAACTATTTCCCTAAGCGTAAAACATTTGCACAACTGAGCTTCCATAGTTCCAAATATATGTGCAGCAAATGTGAGCTCAAGAGCTTACCGATAGCCCGTCTTGTTCAAAGTCTTCCTCACAGTGGAAAAGTGCTTTGTTTGCCGTCCTCTCAGTGTGTTGCTCACGGGTCAAATGACTGCTGCATGCATTTTAAGGTCTACTAGGCACGCCCACCCTTGATTGCTCTAATGTGGCTCACCTGGCAGGGTGGCGCACACCAGGCCGTGCTTAGTTGTTGATTGCACCCAAGGTCTAATCAGCGGCCATGCACAAGCAGCATCACCGAACAGGTAGTGGGCAGGAGGAGGAAGAGAGGAATAACAGCCACACCTACTAGGTCAGCGCGACAGTAACTAACTGAAGCCTTTCATTGACCAAACAAACACATCGGTCCTCTCTGTGCACACACACTGCTGCTGTCAGTGTGTTTGTATGTAACAAAATCAAAGTGCAGACATGCGTTTGTGACTCTGTCACCGAGCTAACAGCCGATCACTCAGCATGTTTGTACTGTCGGCTCATGTTGCCTTCATGTTCCCAGGAGCACTCAGCTGACGACATCTAAAGACCTGCAGGCCGTTCGAGTCACATCTTCCTTAAACTAACAGCGTTTCATAAAGAGAACATCACAGCAGCAGCAGACACTGTGGTGTGATGGTCTGTGCTGCTCTGCTGCTTCAGGACAACTCGCTGTAACTGAGGGAATTCTGCTCTCTACCAGAAAACCCTGAAGGCAGCAGGACAATGATCAGGTCCTGCAGCACGTCCCCCTCCGATTGGCTCAAAGAACAAAATGAAGTTTTGGAAGTCTGGAATAAACGGCCTCAAAGGGGAGCCAAACCAGTACGATATGATCCAGGTGTAACAAAGATTTACAGGTGTGCGCGCTGATCCGTGTGTAACGTCTGAGGACTCACAAATGTGTTCATCCAAAGCCGAGTAAATTCAGACCTTTACAGTTAATGAAGTTCAGATCGTTAGCTTCAATAACGGCTCACAGATCCACAAACGTGAGCTGCGCTCAGGTCACGCTCTGTGTGGATCAGATCTGAAGGAGGAGGGCGGAGCGTCGTCCTCGGGAACATTCTGGTTTCAGGTCTGTGTCATTCCTTCGTGCCGATCCAGTTTGTACCACAAGGTGGCGTCAGTGTTAGTGGGTCATCTTGTATTTACAGGACATTGTGGGAATATGAAAAAGAAATCAAAATAAACCGCGGGTGGGGGTTGCGCGCGCTCTGCAGCTGAAAATGCTTTCGGGTGCGCGCGCTCTCCTCTTCACATGCGCAGGCTGGCGGCGCACGTCTCCATCCAGCAGTGCGCAGTAATTGAAATGGCGCATTTGGCCGCGGGCGGGTAATGCGTGATGGGACGCGTCATTCGGGAGGGGGCGGGACCTGCGGGATCTCACCTTCGTGCGCGCGCTGCCTCGGTGGGGTCGGGACTGTGACCTGGCCCCGGGGGGTCTGCGGGGCCCCGGGTGCTCTTCATTCGGCCCTCCTCTCTGCTCCTCCTCAGTCTCTCCGGGACCGCAGCCCTGCCGCCGGGACGGAGCTCTCTCTCACGCCGCCCTCCATGTCCTCCGTGTCGGTCTCCTCTCAGGTGAGTGAGCGGGACGGGAGGGGGGCACAGGTGCTGCTGTGAGGCTCATTTATAAAGTTTTCGAGTTTATGACGTAAAACTAGAAATTCAGACGCGTTTCGGGGGAAGACACGCCGAGCTGCTCCGTTCTCGCCGCCAGACTCCATTAAAAAAACGTCCGATTTAAGTGTTCCGGGGTGCCGGTGACAAACAGCCACCACACCACACACCGTCGTGTTTTCTGTTGATTTCGTAGCACATTCTTCACGTCGGCACAAACAAATATTCTGACATTACAGAATGTTTCAGCGCAGTCGGAACCTTTGCCGGTAGCGCGTCTGCTTTCTGGCCATCCTTTAACGGCTGCTACGCCGCTGTGGACGGACGTTATCTCCGTTATTTGTGGTTAAAGATAAGGTTCTCCAGAATTAACAGAGGGGTCGGTGAGGGTTCGTATCCAGATTTCACCAGAAGCCCGCACAGTGTGGAGAGGAGACCTTCACACAGGTCAGGAGACACCTGGCTTCGTTGGATTTGCGAGGATACGTTAAATGTTGGGTTTTCTAAAGGAGCCTGGCGTATGTTGGTTTAAGTGCGAGAGTGTAAGGGCTTGATGTTCCGAACCCTAAAGTTCAAACACATGGCCTCACGTGCAGGTCAATTCTTTATTTCAGGGTTTGATGAAAGCCACGGACTGATCTCACGTCTGTTATTTCCTGATATTTGAACGCACCACTGCAGACAGGCAGGTGGGGGCGGGGCCCTACGCTGGTGTGACCCGAGGCAATGTTCACCTTTCATGCTCCATAGCCCAGGGGGCGGAAGATAAGGTTCTTCAGCGGCAGCAGCAGCCACCCCCCAGGACACCTCCCACCCCGGCTCGTTATTTAAATTTATCTGAACCAGAATAAAAATAATTTTAACAAAACTTATGCTTTGAGGGGGGAGGAGCCCCTGCCCCTTCATCAGCCTAGGTCAGAGGTCAGATTATAGATGCCGTTATTCTGAGAGCGCTCCATCGTCCTTGTCTTCCTCCTCCATCAGTTTGACTCTGCCTAGGTCAGAGAAACACTGGTTGGCGCTGTTCGTCTTCCAGCTGGCTCAGTAAACAGCAGCAGCAGAAGAAAACTAGGCATAGGTTTAACACGCAGCGAATCCCCTGCTGGTCGTGTAGGGCAGTGTTTCCCAACCTTTTGGAGCCACGGCACACCCCCAAACAAAAATGTCACAAAAAGCACATTGATCATTTCCCCCGCACTCCAGGCAGAGCAGAATTGACTCGGTTTGTCCCCAGTTTACCTTTTTTGCTTCCTTCTGACCACTGCTCATGCTGGGGCCTTCACCTGGGTCGGAGTTTCCTCCAGGACCAGGTCACACTGACTACTTTTCCTTTGCAATTACTTATCTATTGCTGTTACGCGCTGCGTCGTCTCACAGCATGACTATTATGTCATTTCTTTGTCTTCTTCTTTTTTACTGGCAGTTGGCGACCCATTTAATTAGAGCAGGTAGTTGTACTGCCCTCTAGTGGAAGAGAATGCCATTGTTCTGCCCGTTACTCACGCTGGTTGCTTAGAGTACTAATCAGGTGGAACCAGATAATCTTTCACGGCACACCTATGTCCCGCGCCCCAGTGATTGGGAAACACTGGTGTAGGGGTACTGCCCATAGGCTGTACATAAAAGATGGAAGCTGCCACCTTACTTCACCTCTTGGTTTGTCGCTCTATGCAGTTCGAACTGAGCGTTTTTGGCCTCGCCAGCTTGGAGTAGGGTTTTAACTTGACCCACAGGTCAGGATTTGAAGGGGCGGAGCCAGGGTTTAAAGGAGGTGGAGCTATAACAACTAATTCCCGACTGTATCAGATAAAGAAGGATTATTTTGAGCTGTGAATTATGCAAAGCTGCTGAAACAATCACTTAAGCGTTTTAAACTCAGCAGGACACACCTGGGTAAATCCAGGTGAAGCCTCTTCAAAATAAAACCGGTGTGTTCTGAATTTTGACCTGCTGTTATTTGTGATAGGAGGGACGGAGCTTGTCCAGGATGTCTCTGAGCCACTCACCTGTGTCGCCCATGACGGCCCAAGGTATCCCGTCGCCCGCCCAGCTCACCAAGGCCAACGCCCCTGTCCACATCGACGTGGGCGGGCACATGTACACCAGCAGCCTGGCGACGCTCACCAAGTTCCCGGAGTCCAGGTGAGAGACATGAGCCTGGGGGAATACCTGGGCATGCAAGTATGTTTACTGAAGTGAGGTGAAAGGCATTCTGGAGGGAACATGTATATTCACGCTTGACGACAGAGGGCTCGGTCACGTGGTTGTTGCTGGACGGCGAAATGTTCTCAGATGAATGCTAGTTTGTGAAACAGTGAGGCCAGCGCCGCCCTGCTGGACAAACTGTGCTATAACAACACAGCATTTTTCTTTTTGCTTCCTCTTCTGTATAAAAAGTTTTCTGATCTTTGCATATCGACACCCACTAGAGCAGCGCGATATGACCAAAAAGATTTATCACCATATACATTTGAAAATCTGCGATAACGATATAACTGACACGAGACAAAATGCTTTACAACTCCACAACTTTATTAGTGCAAAAAAA